CTAAAGCTTCTATAGATGTTCGCAACTGAACCTACTTTACTTCCTAAGATCCTACTATTATACAATCTACTTTGACGCTAAAGAAAGCGAAAGCGGAAATTTCAGACATCATCATGGTCAAAGTAAGAGTAAATTATATCATTAGAATTAAACCTACTTTGATATCTTAGCTCCTATTGTGGTGTAGAATTCAAGATTCAACATTTCAAGAGTCAAAATTTCGACTCGGGTAACACGTTCAAACGTATAAAATTCTAATTTATACATTATAAATGTGTTAAATGACGTAATTTAAAACCGTATGAAACGTATGAAACGTATGAAACGTATGAAAAGAGTTTTAGCCAATTACACGTTTATGCGTTTAAGAATAACACACTCGGATTTGCAGTGTAGGAACAGTTTGTATGGGGATATCTGTAAATAAAATACTTAGCGGGGATAGTCTATGGAGCGCGCGCGTTGTTAAATGCACTTGTCCCGGAAGAAAGGAAAGCAATTTGGAAACAGATTGCATTACGGGCTGAGATAAGACGATAACGTTTATCCACGGTTTAAAAGGAAAGAGAGAAGCCGCCTGATCAGAGACTAATTATCGCCTGAGATGTCTATTAATTCATTAAGCTTTCATACATTTATCATATTTGTGTATATTAAACTGTTTGTTTTCGATTTCTTCCCCCCCTCTCTCTCTCTCTCTCTCTCTCTCTCTCTCTCTCTCTTTTAATTTCGCACTGTAAATATCCGGTAGCCGCGCGCGATAATTATCTCCCGTTCGCTGGTTACGCCGAAACTTGGTGGGTAACGCGATTTAGAACGGCACGGTCTTCTGGACTGCATTCTAGTCGCGCGAATTATCTAGCAAATACCGGAGCAGCCTTAAATGCCGGCTCTCCGGAAATCAGCCTGACTGTTATTAAATTTTCGTATGCACGCTATCGCAATGCTCCTACGATATCTAGAGAGGCAGCACGCATATACACACACATAGAGAGAGAGAGAGAGAGGGAGGGGGGACGAGAGAGAGGTAGCGAGATTAAAACGGCCAGGTGGGTAATATTGCCGACTTGTTCATACAGTTACCAACACATGGCGCTGTTAATCACGTCGAATTACAACACATGCAAGCAATGCATTTTGAGATATGCGAATCCAGTTAGTCCACCGCTGGTGTTAATGCACAACGCGGGAGTGGGGGGAGGGGGGGGGGACTGGAAGGGCCGGAGGGAGAAATTGGGATACACCGTTGGGCGCGAATTGAACGTTGTGTACTCTATCGTTTATGACCGGAGCTATTGCGCGCTTTCGCTCGCGTGCCGCGCGCACGCAGCAATATCGCAAAAATGCGTGACGGACGGCCGCGGCCCGCGTTGGTTTCGCGTCGGACATTTCGAGGGGCGGTGTTATTTCCGCTAAAATTTGGCTAAAAGATGGCAGCGATGAATACCTGCGGTCGGGGTTAATTTTTTATCGGGACAGGTTACGCGCGGCAGCGACCAGCGGCGTTTCGAGGAATGCCGAAAATGGCGCGATTTCATATATTCCGCAAATCCGCTCCGTCGGGAGTGATGGCGTTTTTTGGAGCCGCGATTTGTAACGTCGCGCGCCAGCAAATGAGTCGTAGCGGCTCGCCAATGCCGGTTGACGTGTTCTCCAACGATCGTATCTCCACGTGACTTTTTTTTCTCTTTTTTCCTCTTTTTTTCATGGAGCCAGACCGGTTACGATATAACGCGGAGTGCTCCTATGAGAAATTTATGGCGGAGGCTCTCTGGCAGGATCGTCGGTGGTGAGGTGATGCGTACGCTCTCGCGTGGATATCAAATCACATCATACATATATTAACCTTTTCGGTGCCGCAGAGTCGGAATACGAAGTGGTTACAGTTGGTTACAGCTGCGCCGATTCACTGACGCGACAAACACCAGAGAAAGATGGAATAATAGTAGCCGTTTCTCCTTATCATGTAATGATGCATTATCGATTGTTACGGAACAATGTTTTTTACAATGTCCATGTCAGCCCGATTTCCCTACCATCTTTATGTTTTATACTTAATTGCTTTATGTGTATCTTTTGTGTCCATGCACTGAAAACAAAAATTAATAAATATTTATTAGATGGGTATCATTAACATATTTACTTAAATCAAAATTCTCTTCATTTATACTAAATATTATTTACTTAAGGCGAGCAAACAATATTCGGTTTAAATGAAGAGAATTTAAGTAGATACGTTAATGGTACTCACCTAATAAATATTTGTTAATTTTTAAATATTTTTTCTCAGTGTGTTCACATTTAAGAGTAAAATAATTTAAATTATACACCATAAGAAAAAGTCGGATGGAAAAAACTAAACCTTAGCATTACGCAATGCAATTTTGCACAAGCAGTAATCGTAAGTACCCATCTAATAAATATTTATTAATTTTTAAATATTTTTGTTTTCAGTGCATGGACACAAAAGATACACATAAAGCAATTAAGTATAACACATAAAGATGGTAGGGAAATCGGGCTGACATTGTAATAAACATTGTTCCGTAACAATCGATAATCCATCATTACATGATAGGGAGAAACGGTTACTATTATTCCATCTTTCTCTGGTGTTTGTCGCGTCAGTGAATCGGCGCAGCTGTAACCAACTGTAACCACTTCGTATTCCGACTCTGCGGCACCGAAAAGGTTAATATATGTATGATGTGATATAAAATTAAATAAAAATTGCGCCAGGTCAATAATCTATGAATTTATTTTGGGAATTCAGACCATAAAATTTAGCTGACAGTCAAATATGAACAAATCTGAAACATAGTTGTATGCGATAAAAATAAATAAAAATAATTAATAGTTAATAATAAATATACGGAAATAGTTAAAAATAATTAATAATTAATAATAAATATATGGAAAAAATATTATTATAAAAATTACGCTAAGATTATATTTTATTCTAATGTCCTTTTTTGTGAAGCTAGACTATATTTTAATGCCTATATTTCTTTTTACTGTATTAGAAATAAAAAATACAAAAAATACATAAAGATAAGGAAAATACAGATTCTTTGATAGTCTACGCGTTTACAGTGTAGAAATAATAAATACACGGAAAAAATATAGTAAAAATTACATTAAGATTATATTTTATTTTGGTGAAATTAGACTATATTTTGAATATAGTCTATATGAATATTTTTATATAATAGTAAGAGTAATAGTAAATTTGACGATCTATATCGAAAATACGATATAAAAAGCATCTATGTAATTAGTTCACAGTAATTTTGTAGTAAAATGTGAAAAAAGCGTGACAATTCTAAACAAATACATAGTAATTCCGGTCATAATTTCTGTATGCTCCAAGATTACAAAGTTTTGTTGTAATTTTTGCCACTATATTTTCTACGTGTACGCTCATTGTGACGAGTACATTCAGCTTTGAGTGTTTGAACACGTCAATTCATCACACGGGAACTCTGACGGGTTTATTTCTCCGGGATACCTCTTAAGAATGAAAACCCTGTCGTGAAAAGTATTCTTTTGAGATTGAAGGGTGCCCGGCGCACGCACCTTGTAACTTCACTACGCACTATAGTCTTCCTACAGACGTCCTCACGGTCGTCGGAACAATTAAAGGCGCAGTCCTAGATATCGGTGCTTTCGCTCCGACGTTCGTCGCTCGGGACAATAAACACTCGCTACCTGGCCAGTTATCTTCATCAGCTGGCCGCACTCGTTCGCGCGGACTGAGACCGGGACTCACGGAGGAGGGAACGAAGGCGCGTACATCCCTTAAGCCCTCAATATACTCCCAGGACTAATCAGATGAGATCTAATCGTTGATCCGCTGGGGTCGCGATATTTGTGCCGCCGTAAGAAGAATGTCGCCGGCGGAATTGAAAAGGGCGGTTAATAGTCGATGGGACAGGGAGGCGCGGCGAATAAGAAAAATAGGCAGAAGAAAGGAACAGGGAGGAAGGGTGGGATTAGGGCTTAACTCGCCAACGTTGTCGCGTTGCGCTCGGGAATACGTGCACAAATATATATACATACATATATATATATATATATATATATACACACACAGGAGGGTACGTCTCAAGATTTCCCCGGCTTGTTTAAAAGGCCGTGGGACGACGGTGAATCGCCATTGTGCGCGCGGTACGCGCGACATACAGGCATCGCAAACACACGTACACTAATGTGCGTGCGTACGTGGCACCGGAGAGGAAAACACAAAAACCGCGCCACGTAGGTAGATCTCTCCTCGTCGCGCGGACCCCTTTGGCAGAAGAATGCCGGAGATAAAATCGCGCAACCCCTGCATCGGCGCAACCCTTCGCTAAGGGTTGACGCACGACCCTCATTGTATGTCGCGAGGCTGTGTGTGCGATGTGTGCGAGCGAGCACGAGTTCTGCGAGACGCCATATAACGACCGAAAGCCGAGCAGCACCACATACTACACACATCGACGCTGGCGTCAATAAATACATGCGCGTCTAACGCTCACACGCGTGCAGTCCCTTGGTATCCGGGACTGTCTTCGGGTCTTTTCTCTCTTCCCCCTTGTCGTTCCCATTTCCTACCCTTTCTCGTCCCCGTCCCCATTCTCATTCCCTCTTACCCTCTCGCTCCCTCCCACCCCTCTCTCCCTCTCTCTTTCCCTCATTTTTCCCCAACTCCGGGTTTCCTCCTATTTTGCTCTCGCGGGATAGTTCCTTGCTATTTTTGAAGCTTATCCCATACGGAAAGTATGTGACAGTTTGGTCGGAACGAGTGGCGCGGGTGGTGGGAGAAACGATTCTTCGTGGCCTGCTGACACAGCCGACGCGTTTCTTCGCGCCATTGTGCGCGACACCCGCGCGGAGTTTTGAAAGTTTAATAGAGTTGTACTCTCGCACGGTAGAGAAAGAGAGAGAGGGAGAGAGACGAGGGAATGTTGATGGATATGATGACGGTCGCGTCCCGCTGCAGAATCTTAAAAAGCGGCAAAATAGCTCAAAGAAATTGATAGTTTCTCATCGATTAGATCGTGGGTTCTCTTATCTTTTGCATATGACAGTTTTTATGGATGGTTCCGAAGTGAACGATAGTCTTTTGCGTGCTCTTTAAAAGCGATTAGCTTTAGTTTAGAGAAAAAGGAACGGATAAGCTGTCGCAGAAACGAAATTAAGATGAAATATCAAGTCCAATCTCACGTCTGCTTTTGGTTAAATGTGGAAAATCGTGTGTCAAATTTTAAGCTACGTAATATTATTGATCCAGAAGATTTCTGTCATAAAAGACAATATTATAGCAAAGTGAAGAAATAATAACAGTAAAAGTAAGAGAGAGAGAGAGAGAGAGAGAGAGAGAGAGAGAGAGAGAGAGAGAGAGAGAGAGAGAAAGAGCTTTTTCTCTCTTTCTTGATATATATTTCTTTTTCTTCTTGATTTACTGAATTTAAAATTCAAAATCTAAGAATCCAGATTTACAATTCGAGATTTGTGATTCGGTTTTGCGACTAGACTGGAAGACGAATCTTCCTTCCTGTTCTTTTTCTGAAGCAACTTTAACGGTGACCTGACCCAGTCCGCAAAAAGGTTTAAAGTTGAGGTCCTTCAAGACTTCGAGCATGCGATCGCCCGTGAGAGCGGAGAAAGGAGAGCTTGCAGCATTTTTGCTTTCGCTGCCGCGCGCCACGATCCACTCGCTGGCGGCTAGGCCCCCGTTCTGCCTGTCAAGGAAGTTCAGAGTTTCCTTGACAGACATTTTAGGGTCCCTCACATGCACAACGATGCGGTGACGTTTGAACAGTTTATCTGCTGATGCGTACATTGCACGTCCTCCTTAACAATAACCTTCAGAGCAAAGTTTTTGAGCTATTCTGTAGCTTGGTTGTCAGTGCAACTGAATATTACTGTACCTTCTTTTCCCGAAGCACCCTTAAGGGGATGCTGGAGTGAGCAACGAACTTGATAAGCGTCGATAACGTAGAGCGATCATCAAAAAGTAGAAAACATTATCATCATTTATCGACGATATCGAATTTATGTACACATAGATACTTATGAAATAAAGACGATTGTCAAATAGGTGCTAACATACTGCTATCATCTTTTCATAGATGTTATGCAAATGTGTGTGCTACTTTGTCATTTCAATTTTCTTACACATAGACGTTACGTAAATGTGAATGCTACGTTGCCGATATTCGCATTCTCTTCAAAATAGATTCTTGCTACTTTTCTGGTGAATTCTTCAAACCGCCTATGTGCTGAGTGCATTAAAGAAAGAATTTTTAGAGAAGAGTGTTGTAGGCGCAAACGTAGTTTACGAATGATTTTTTAAAAAATACGTTACCTATTATTTGAGTTTTCAATATAATTAGCAACGGTAACTTGAGATATCATTTTCATTTCGCACTGACCAATGTTACACTTTATTTTTGCACGCAATTTTATCATATAAATTGGAGCAGTACGCTGTAATTTTTGTAAAATGAAATCAGTGTCACGATAGCAATAGTTCCACATCGTTTTCATCCTTGAGGCAGGAATGCCCTATTTCATTTATACATGTACTTTTACTATACAAAAGCATTTTTAATTTGGTCAAGACAACTCAAAGTAAAATTTGTTGGGAAATGTCATTAACGTGATACTGAATACCTTTGCAAAACAAAATTAAAAATCCTTTCGCATGGTGAAAATACGTGCGAAAATGAAGCGGAGCATTTCACAATATGAAACGAAAACAATCAGAAACAATTACTATCATGACATCGAATCTTTCTGCAAAGACTACTTCTTTCTATCTCCGTTGAATAAAAAACACTTTTGCATGGTAAAAGTACATGCGAAAATGAAGCGGAACATCCCACGTAATCCGGGAGACGATGCAGAGCGAAATAGTCAAACTTCACGTCATTTTCGAAAATACATCTTTGCAAAGGCGAAAATTATTTAAAAAAACTGTAAGATACCATCCCGGAATGTGTTCTAGATGCTAACACTATATGACCTAAATAACCTGCAATAACATGACCGACTTCTGGTCAATGCGCGAGAATCCGACGATTCTCTACGACGTTAATACGAACGAATTTCTACGACGTTAAGTTGTATTTAACGTTATGAACGCAACTGTGGGCTATTGGAAAATTATTTTCAAGATTTTGGGCGTGTTACTGAGGGAGTAGAGTGACATTAACGCACATTGTCATCCAAGAGACGATGCAGAGCGAAATACACACACTTTATGTCATTTACGGAAATACATCTTTGCACACGCAAAAATTACTTTAAAAAATTGTAAAAAGGTATTCCAGAATGTGCTCTAGATACTAACACTATATGATCTAAATAATAGGGTGTTTCTTAACCTCCACGAAGCACATAGCGTTATTCCTTATGAAAAATTAAATCGAAAAGTTCTAAATCATTTCTGTCTTTGATGCTTAACGAAGCAGGTATTCTTTAATAAATTCCAGCAAATCCGCGCCGTTCTTTAGCGATATACACGTCTGTGATCTGCGCGCTTGGTAGTGTGCGTGAATGCAGCGGCAGAACATTCATGCACACTCCAAGCACGCGGCTCACAGACGTATATATTTCTAAAGGACGGCGCGGATTTGCTGGAATTTATTAAAGAATATCTGCTTCATTAAACATCAAAGACAAAAATGGTTCAGGATTTTTTTATTCAATTTTTCATAAGGAATAACGCTATATACTTCGTGAGCGGAGGTTAAGAAACATCCTGTATATCCTAAAGAACCTGCAATAACATGACCGACTTTCGGTCCATACACAGAATAGGTACCAATGCGCATGCGCGAGAAACCAAATATATTACTACGATGGATCTAACATTATGGGCGCGACTTTGGGATTTTGGAAAATTATTTTCAAGATTCTGGGCGTGTTACTGAGGAAATAGAGTGACATTAAGGCACATTGTCATCCAAGAGACGATGCAGAGCGAAATACGCACACTTCACGTCATTTTCGAAAATACATCTTTGCAAACGCAAGTTTTAAGTTTTAAAAAATTTTTAAAAATTATCTCAGGCTTAACTAACTCGGCTTAATAATTTTGCAGAAACATAAAACTTATCGGTTCGGATTTCGGCTTAATAATTTAGCGAAAACGTTTCTGTTGAATCTCGGCTTAATAATTTAGCGGAGCCTCAAAACATATCGGTTCGTATTTCGGTTTAATGGTTTAGCGGAATCTCAAAACACGAATGTCCGAATTTCGGCTTAATAATTTAGCGGGAAATCGAAACATTTCGGTTAGATCTCGGCTTTAATTTAATTTGTTAATTTTAATTTGTCGTCTTGTCAACAACATACGCGTGTTCATAAGCGAATATCTCCAAAGAGATAGTATGTCGTATATAATATGACATAATAAGTTATAAAGTATATTAATCAAATAGTATATATAAAGCATACATTGGATATACATAAAACATATGTAGAGCGTAAAAAAAGTATATATAACATATACAGAGCATCTAAATATGACACGTTGAAATATATCAGTTTAATGTATCATCAAGAAATAATCCGACGAGAAGGAAGCCTGCCGAGTCGAAATTTCAATTGGCCATTGTTATGCAAGAATGATCCAATTCAAAAAATTATAAGCCTTTATCAATGGATACTTCATTCACATCTTTTTAATCCAAATTAAAAAATTCAAGCCTTATGGATGCTTGAAATGAATTACGAAACAGTTTTAGTTTTATCAGTCACATCTTTTTGTACATTTTTCTCAGGATTGAGATAGTCGATACTCTTAAAGAAATGGAAATGGAATGCTTGACTCGTTGAACTGTTGCGAAAATCTCAGAGCTAAGTTCTTTGGTTGGATCATTCTTACGTGACTCCTGGGAATTGCAAATTCCAATTCTTACTTTACTTCCCGTCGGACTCAATGCAATTTACGTCTACGTGCATGCAATCTACGTGAAATGACGCTTTGTGTCTACTATATGAGCGTCTAAACTGAGCGCTCACCATTGCGCGTTGTCCCACGGTATCCAGGGTCCACCAGCCATCCTGTCGTTGCATCTGACACTGCAACAGTCCTTGTGTCCTACATTGCCTATAATTCACTTCCGACCACGATAACGGAAGTTTCACGAAAAATCCCGTCTCTTTTAAGGGATACACTCCGAGTTGCGAATTGCATATAAAATATCGCGAACTGCGTCTTTGAGGAAATGTCGGCCTTTCGGACAAACGACGAGTATGTGCAAATTCAGCAACGGTTTGATCGAGTTGTAGTGTATCGCTTTGATACACGCGCGACGCGAATTGCTTACGAAGAAAACGGAATCCGCGAGCGAAAGGAACACACGACGATGAACGCCGATATCGCGAAATCTTTCGACGCGTGGACGAAATAATCTGTGCGAAATTCTCACATACGACACGGAATATCCTTAATGTAACGTTTTTATGGTGCGGCGTAGTAGGCTATAATGCAGCTCCGCAATATTTTTGCGGATAACATCTCCGCAATACTTTTGCGAAGACAATTCCGCAATGCTTTTGCGGATAACAACTCCGCAATACTTTTGCGAAAACAATTCCGCAATACTTTTGCGAAAACAATTCCGCAATATTTTTGCGGATAATATTGCTCTCTGCAATATTTTTGCGAAGTTCGCTCGCGACTCTTCCGCAAATACGATCCGGTGAAATTCGCAAACCTATCAAATTAATAATCGCAAACACGAGCGTGAATGAAAAATCGGAAACTATGAAAATTGTGACGATAGAGATGAAGATTCTGTTTAAAATTCACATGAAAAAAATGTTACCGCATGAAACTCCTGTTTTGGTTCAATGGAACTTATCGCGCGCCGTGTAAGTGAATAAACAACTGCTCGCATGTATTGTTGCAGAAATGTGCCCGTGCACGCCGCAGCGTACGAGGAGAAATTGTGTCCCGCGTTAGGAAACTCTAACTCTAAGTGAAAAATTGAAATCTGAAAATTTTTCGATGATCGTAAAATTAATTTTACGAGCAGTTTATATAATCACGTTAGATCGCTTCGCACAGGTGTCGCACGATGTCGAATTTTACTTAATAACGTAACAAGAACTCTATTTTATGAAATATAATCGCAATTCAAGCTCAGGCTAATGAGAAAATTGAAAAAATTAACGACCGACGGAAGATCTCTGACGCGGATGATGTGATTACACTTTTACTGTAGCGCAATCTCTGTGGCGCAATCTCTTTGCGCGTTGGCGCATTGCTCGAGACACCTGGAAGATCGTCTTCAATAAAACTGAATAATTTTACAAAATTTTGAATATTCAGAGCGTATACTCAATAGTTTAAGCATTTACAAGATAGTGTATGATTAATCAAAATTTCCTCCGACCAACCAATAATCTAAGTTAATCAATTTCTAAATATATATACATTGGGAGAAAAATATTTGAAAATTTGTTTTGCCGAATTTATGTAAAATAAGGATTATTACTATTATTAGTTAAAAAAACGATCTTTCAATTGTTTCAAGCAGTATGATTTTTATTGGACGGTACGTACACATATTACAACTACAGCAAATTAAATCGCATTGATTCGATAAGCATGCACTACATCGAAAGACTTATTGTCTTTCTATTATCAATATGTTTCTTATTTTGACTCACCAAAACCGTCGATCAGGGTAGCCACATTCTACTTTCGTTTCTGGAACAGAAAAATGTTATTTTGCCGATTAGATTTGTGCATTGATAACGATTTGAGTGGAGAAATTCAAAGGATTAAAAAAATAAACATATTTTTCACGCTGAAAGAATTTTTCGGAATGCATTCACACTTGGAATATTCCACTTTCCTTTTTCTCGACGTTGAAAATAAATCTCTTAATCAGAACAAATCAAAATTTTTCAAGTAGTGATGTTACTCAGAAAAAATTCTCTCCGCGTATATTTACGATTTAACGCGATCTTTGATTCGATTCAAATTATATCGGTTTCGAGCAAAAGAACTATCAATCTTGTGGGATTTCTAATTGCAAATGTTAATTAATAAAGCTCACCTTCGAGCTAACACCGCTCAGCCCGAGCCAAATCCTTCGGCGCAGCAGCCCCTAAGAATCGGCTGATCGTCTGTTTCG